GAAACCTCTAATGACAGGCTACGCTGAATAAATATAGCCACCATGCCTGTTATACTATAAACCGGCCTTTGCTCATTAGGCCTGGAGCATTAGGCAGGCACTGTGAGAGCGCAAAGTATTGCTCAAAAATTACGTAAAGGCAGGATGTCCTAAAATACAGATCAATACAATACAGCAATACAAGCAATCAAGTGCAGCTGGGCCTCGAAAATGATTAATATCTCTGACAGTGTTATGAAGAATTCCGCATACAACACTAATAACTCATTACACAATGATGGAACAGTAATGACTAGCCAAGTTGTCTTTAAGGCTTCAGTGTTCTGCCTGGTCATAAAAAAATATATGAACCCTTGCGGTTGATATGAGCAATAGTAGTCAGCTGGTGACTAATGGGTCTTTTAACCTCGATATGCTTTAAACTCTGATCCCATGAGCTGAAGTCAAAGCCACCATAAACACGTCTTTGTTAACCAGCTTGTCACTGTGAAACGCTTCATTGTCCACTGCATTTTCTTTATGAGATATGTACATGTTTATATCTTTAAAAAGCATTGTTCCAACACCATTCATTTGTTCTTTTAAAAGACAGATAACCAGTGCCTGGAGGACATTATCTTAATGGTCATGAATTCCTTTAGTGTTACTTAATTTCAAAGTTAAAAGGACTTTCCTGGTATTGAAACAACCCAAGCAAGACAAACTCACTCCACGGTGTATGTTACAGTTGCTATGGTCATTTTTACTAACATTAAAGAGAGGAACTACACTGTCTCTGATACTTCCTGTTTTGGTCATGGACATGGACAGGAAAGATTGCCGTGCCAATCTACGGCTTTAATATGCAAATTTACCACTACACCACATAGTACATAAGAACTTCCCATGAAGGTATGGTAAATTTTGGATGTAAATGGGTAAAGAAATGGAACTGATTTCTAGCAGCAGAAGTGCATGGTTAAATATATATTTCAGAAAATTTCCCTTTGGGGAGTTCTGTGTTCCAAAGAGCTTTGTTTCTTCACAATGTCCACTGAGATGGTCCATAAAAAATAACCTTTTACCCACTACGGCTGAGCAATACAACAATATACTATTAATGTCATGATAAACTGCATCACAATACAATTTTCTGAAATATTATCAGTCCTTGGAGTCATCTCTATAATTATTGGCAAAAAAAAAAAAAAAGTAATGAAAAAATGTGGTAAATAAGATAATCTCACACTGAAATTATGAAAGAAATCTTACCTTTAATTGAAGTACATGTATTCTAAGAAAATTAAAAATGCTTAGCAAAAATATTTTTCGACAAAAACACATGCCACAATTATTGGCACCCTGTATTTAGTACTTTGGGCCAACATCACAACATTGAGACTCCTATAATGATAGATGAGATTGGAGAATACAGAGTAAGGGATCCGAGACACTCCTCAATACTCAATCTCTCCAGATCCTCGGTCCTCTCCTCTTCAGCTCACCTCACAGGTTTGCAAGGGGGCTTTGGTCAGGAGTGTGACATGGCCACGTCACAAGCTCGATTCTGTCACTGAACTAATTTTGTGTGGATTTGGACATATTTTTTGAATATGTCCTGCTGAATCCAACCATGACCCAGTTGTATCTTCGCAGTAGAGATAGCATGATTTTCTTGATGATTCCAAAATCCTGCCATCTTCTGCAAATGGTGATGTTTGGAGAATGTTTTTGCCTCCCTAACCACGCTCTTCACTGTGCACTGATGTCACTATTTTGCACTACAAATACACTTGTATCCTCTTCTAGGTAGTTTCATTACAGCTCACAGTGTTTTAAACTTCTTAATGATTGCCCTAACAGTAGATATGTGCGTTTTCAGGTGTGTAGTTTTTTGTTTGTTTGTTTTGTTGTTGTTTTTTCCACAAGTCATTGTGCATTAACTATCTTCCCCATGTTGAATAACTAGGGGAATTTGGCCTCTGTGTGTAGGAAATCTGGTTAATCAGGTACATTAAAAAAAACTTTGTTAATAAGCTTTTTTTTTCAAGCTAGATTCCTCTCATATTGTCAATGTGAGATTAAGCTAATTAAGCACAAACACATTTTTATAACCTTTTTTTTTTTTTAACCCTTCTTATCCAGGGGTGCCAATAATTCTGGAGTCGACTGTGTGTCATACAGACTGGTGCCACTGTTATTCGCAATGACATTAGAGATTAACTTTTTTTTTTCTTTTACTGTATTGTCTTCATACTGTACTGTATACTTTTTAACCCGTCCACTAATTTGACTACATTTATAACAGCGCTGGTACATTTGCCTGTTTGTATCACTCCGCTTGTCTGTGTTCACCACATTACATTCCAATTCTAGCAATAGTTTGTTCCATCATCAACTTACTGCAGGCTGTCAGTCAGACTGTGCGTTGGCATGGCAACATGCAACACCCTATCCAGCTGTGATTTCCAACTATTTCCGTTAACAGAGCAAAAATAAGCAAAATATTTGGCCATAACGTGTCTGAAAAGTCCGTTACTTGATATTAACTTCTTCTTTATAGAACTGTTGAATAAAAGCAACATCACACGAGCAAGAGTGCTGTTGTAGTGAATATCAGCACGGCTGGGATCACCTGCAGGCTCGTGCCAACATGATGATATTCAATACATCAACACTCTTACTTGCGATACAAGTTGTTTTCAGACTTAAGATGTCATTTCTGACATTTTTTTGTCGCAGCATTACTTTGCTGCAGGCACTCTGTTAGCAAATCTAAACATTGTGGATTGTAAATAATTCTTCATGCACTATGATGTGATATTTTGTCCCATATTGCCCACCCCTACTGTCCAGATCTCTCGTTTAATCTATATCTAATAAATGTTAAAAGCCATAAAAGTCCCAAGTGTTTGCGTGAGATTCCCTCTAAACATGATCATTCTAACCATCAACACAGTATCACAAGATAAACCAATAATAACACAATAACGAAATGCACAATCTAATTCATAGCTGGAACCAGAATTCCTATTTTTATGCCTGGAGTTCATTAGAGAAAGTTTTTCTTTTCTTTTTTTTTTTTTACATTTTGAAGTCATCACATTAACACTGAAGCAAAACTACTTGACATTTGTAACCTTATTCCTCCCCTACATCTCTCTTTCTCTCTCCTTCACAGACACACACACACACACACACGCACACACCCTTGCATGCAGAGACACCAACTCCACACATTTACTATGCAAAGTCGGTATCCTCAATACAGCTTGTTGCCAATTTGCAAATGAGTTCCTGTGGTTTTAGTTAGTCCAAAAACCAGATTATCATTCACACAAAGAATAGCACAATTAACTGCATGCTTAGTAACTGCGTTCTTGACAAGGTTATCAAATCCCATGTTAATGATTAATTTTGTAGTCTAAAACAATGCACATTCCAAAGTAAAATAAAAAAAAAAAGAAAAAGGAAAAAAAAAAGTAACAGTCAAATTAACCCCTGGTCATGCTTCGGGTTATGCAAGATAGCTGCAAAATAATACTCTTAACCTTTATGCCCAATTCTTCATAACTCTTCACAAGCATTTTTAAACAAACATTTGAACAAAACCTTGTGTAATCCTATCCATTTCTAGTTCGATACTGCTGTCTATAAATTCAGACATTAACACAACTCCAGTGAAACTAGAATATGAGCTTTTGTGCAAACATTCTGAGTGAATATTTTAACAGAAGGAAGTGCAAAATGAAAGGTTTTTATCAGAGTGAACAACCTTCAGTCAAAATCACTACTTATCATGTGAACGTTATATCTCAGATTGCCCCATTTACATGAATTAACATAGTGCTTACTGGCCTACAAAGCAAATATACATACCTAATATCTAAAAAATCATAAAAGCTTCAAACTCTGTGAATAATGGCATAATAGCATTTTCCTTATCAGAAGCAACGAAATTTTAGCAAAACCTAATAAAACAAAGTTAAACTGTCAAGATCTTAACTGGGATTTAGCACAATTCCTTATCTAAGCAACTCCTTGATTAAAAGGACTCCCCCTAAGCACAATTCTTCTAGCACTGCCCTTTGTAAGAGGTCTCTGACACGCTTGGGGAAACTGGTGATTAATAACGTTTACCTGTGCATAGTAGGAGGCTCTTTCTCCGTACGAGCGTGCTGTAAATACTGACCTCCTTTTCTCATGGCTGTACAGAAGAAGACTGAGCAAGTTTCAGGCAGAGCACTTGCTTTCTACCTTGCATGCGCTCTGGAATGTGGCAGAGCAGCACTATTGAAAAGCGGCACATTCTAGAGCTATTTCCTTTTGCGTTTAACTCGCATGAGGTAATAATCTCTCAGTGTAAAACCCAGCATGCAGGTTTGGCCATTTATTGTACTTTAGGGTGATAGGCTTTTTGCCAAAACCAACACACAGAGAATGTGAAGTTTCCACTGCTTTTCACTTATTTTACAAATCAGCGCCATTCAGAGTTTATTGGCTTCATTTGAAAATTAAGTCAGAGTGACTTAGGGACTATGTAGGATTTTCATTCACACATTACGGGTTTTATATTATGGGTGTTCTGAAATTAAATTCTACAAACTTTTAAAACCTGTGGATTTTGCACACAGTGTCACATCTCAGTTCACAGCAAAGATATTGTCACTTCAAACAGCCAGCATGGACCTTCTCTTGCTTCCTCTCCTGTGCTAGGCTACGTACACAAATAGTGCAGTGTGAAAAATTCAACAACAAAACAAAACAAACACACAGGTCTTACATTAAGGAATGCCTGAACCTATGATGTCCTTATTTCGACTTAATATCTTACTGTTGTCGTTCTTTCATCTGCTTCCATTAGGGGTCGCCACAGCGGATCATCGGTCCGCATATTTGATTTGCCAGTTTTTACGCCGGATGCCCTTCCTGACGCATGCCCTCTCCAATTTTATCCAGGCTTGGGTCCAGCAAGCAGTGGACAGTGCACTGTCTTGTGCAACCCCGGTGGCCGGGGTTGGTTCCCTGGCCAGGAATCAAACCTGGAACATGGCAATGAGAGCGCCAAGGCCTAACTACTAGCCCTCCAGGGACCCTGACTTAATATCTTATTAATAACTTCTAATTTTAAGATATTATGTTGACATTTTAACTTAATATCTCATTATTTGAACACTGTACTATGTAATTATGTTAGACTTAACTCTTTATTCTGAGTTATTATCTCGTCATTCCAACACATCTCCTTGTTTCAAGTTCATATTTAATATCCCATAGTCTATCAATAAAATTAGTTTATTGAATATTAGCTTATAATTGTTATTCTGTATGCTGTTTCCCAGGTAAAGTAAACAGGTTGCTTTAATAGACTTCAGCTGATGCACATTTACATCTAATGATTGGTAATCCATAGTGCTGTCATGGTGCTGACTCCTAACACTTAAACTGACACAATAGTCATAGCGGTCACTAACAAAACAAAATAACGAGATAATATCTCATTATTTCGACGTACTAAGTTGAAATAACAACATAGCACTTCAACATTTGTTTCACAACTTGCCATTTGGGGCTTCCGTACTTGCACAAGTACCCTATAACATGTAATTAGCCATAAAATAATTAAGTAAAAATAACTGAAGAAAGGCATCTTTAGTTTTTTAAGTAGTACATAATGCTGTCATGATTTAAATGCCAGGACTCCCAATAACACAGGGCATGGTTGTCCAACCCTCCTAGCATATGTCTGGTACTCTGCATATCTTAGTTCCAACCCTAACACATCTTCAATAGTGTCTTATTATTAAAATGCAAATCCAAGGTGGCTGATCTCCATTAATGAGGTCGCATGTTTATGCTCAGGTGTGGAAGCCTATGGCTGACCTCGAGTGTATGGAAACATGAAGTAAACGGTACAAATGGCCACACTGTACTGGGAGTGTATTACTTTCTTTGACAAATTACAAAAGCTGCCTTCTGAGAATCCAAGCACCAGCAGTTGCCTTTGTGTGCGAGACAACACTCAATAGAGCATAGCTTTTGAAAATAATCCTGCTCGTGACCCAAATGCTTGCACCAATGCACTACCTCTAAAAGTTAATGTCAACACAATCACAGTCTTGCAGGAGTCACCTCTGTATGCATTACACATTCTGAGATAAGGGCTTATTGTTAATGGATGTTTATTTAGAGACATTAGGTCACTTCTTTTTCAACTATTAACAATCTGGAGCAGCCATTTGGAGAATTTTAATTAATTCTTTAGCAATTAATAGACTAAAGTCACCAACAGATATCACTCACCATAATCTGCTCAAGACATTTTGCATAAAGTACAAAAAAATGCAGTTGAAATAATTACGTCTATATACTCTAATGTATAGGGAGAAAATAATAGAACTTTATTTTCTGCTGCTGGATCACTGTCAACACAGAAAAAAATCAGACAGCAAGAAATTCATCTTAGTATACTTAAAGCACATAATATACATACATGAGTACACTTGTGAAAACTGGGGACAAGTTTAATATTAGATATATGATAATATATGAAAAGCAGGTTTCAGAAGCTCTCCTGTCAAGACATTCCTATCTCACCGGCTATGTACTGTGTAATGTACATATTTTAAGCCAAGCCCATGTTTGATTTACCTGCATCAGCTGGTTAGGCTGAAGATAGATTAATAATAATAATTTCAACGATAAATAATAATTTTAGAATAAGAAAGATCAAGCAAGCAAAAAAGCAAGTAAAAAAGAAAGCAAGCATGAAAGAAAGCAACCAAGAAAACAAGCATGAAAGCAAGCAAGCAATCAAGCAAGAATTAAGCAAGAAAGCATGAAAGAAAGAAAAAAAAAAGAAAAAAGATAAATCAAGCAAGACCTAAATAAAGAAAAGGGCCAGAAAGAAAGCAAACAAGCAAGAAGTCAAATAAGAGAGCAAGTAAGATAGAAAGCAAGATAGCAATCACAAAACCAAGCAATAAATCAGAGTAAAAAAAAAAAAAAATCACACAAGAAAGAAAGCAAGAAATCTTTAATGAACCAAGGAACTAAAGCATGAGAGGAATGATGTGATGAATGTAAACAAAATCTTTATGAAACTAACACTATGTAACACTATGTAACTAAAAATGCTGCTGTATTGGTGCAGAATTTGGAAATTTGAAAAGGCAAAAAAATACAGTTCACCATTTTGTTTAAGGATGTTTAAATCCACTCAGGGCTGTGAATCACGGATACAAGCTGTCAGTGATGTGATATAAACCTAAGCTGTTAGTGATGAGACACAGATGAGAGCACAGTATGGTGAGAAAGAGAGAAAAGAGGACACAGGGAACAAAAAAAAGCAAGCAAGACAGTGTACCCTGTCACCACTTGCCACTCTGCACTTACATCATTCCCTGATGAGATGCAAAGAGGACAAGGCCATCAGGGTGTGGAGATGTGCACTGAATGGTGCACCACAAGGGCAGACACTAACATACTTTCAGGCCTGTATTCACGGCCTGCAATAATACAAAGTGCTTAACTGTGTGCGAGTGTGTGTATGTGCATGTGTGCGTGCGCGTGCATGCGTGTGCGTGTAAGGAGAGATGAGATCTTTGCTGAAGTTATCCTTTTGTCTTGACCCATGATGAGTATTTAACATTCAAATCCATTGCATAAAAGCGCTAAAAGAGCATGTGCTTTATTGATAGCTTCCACCTACATATTGCTTAAAATAATATTAGATCAATAAACCTGATTAGGTTTTAACCATGATTTCTAGCTGATGCATTAACTATATTTGTTAGTTACAGTCCTGGATTAGTGGCTATGCTTTAGCTTCTAGACAGACTGCCATTTCTGGCTAGTATTTTTTTTAAAAACTGTTGATAGGACACGATCTTTTTGTTTTCATCAACAAATGAACATACGGAAATACAGATTAGTCAGTGTGTGATTTTTTGGTAGTGTTTTTGAAACACCTGCCCTGAGTTTATGAATATGGCACTGAATAGGAAGCAGTGTTTGAGTACAGTGAGGGCATTATGTTTTGGACACGTGAAATAATTCAGGCACCACATTTCTAAGAGATGTGCTGTCTGGAAATAGAGAACTGTACATTCTAAGAGATAAGGACTCGGAGTAGATGTGTGATTGCTTAATAGCCAGTGATTCACTTCTGAGCTATGGCAGTCATCTAGAAAGTTTCTTTAAGTAATCAGTGGAATCAGCCAACAGCCTCAATTATGTTAAGTTTTCTGGAAAAAAAGACAAAATCAATCACAAGAGGAAAAAAGACAGAAAGGAAAAAATAAAAGTTTTTTTGTACATTTAACTTCACTGTCTGCCACTGGATCACCATCAACACAGAAATACAGACAGAGTGAACTTTATCCTAGGACTATTACAATCACCAAAATATCTTAACACACACTTGTCCAACTACAGCTGTGTGAGCAGAATATACAGTCCCCTTTAAAAGTATTGTAACAGCAAGGCCAATTCTTTTTGTTTTTTTGCTATAGACTGCTATACATGGGTATGAGATCAAAAGATGAATATGAGACGACAGATCAGAATTTCAGCTTTCATTTCCTAATATTTTCATCTAGCTGTGTTAAACAACCTAGAACATGGCACCTTTTGTTTTTTAAGGGATCAAATATAATAGTACATGTAACTGATAGGTGTTTCTTGTTGCCCAGGTGTGCCCTGTTAGATTGATTGTAAACAATTAATAGCTCTGAGTGTCTACTCTTCGTGTGAGCCCTGGGTTTCACCTGTGAAGACTGCATTTGTTGTTAAAAAGGTTAAACCAACATGAAGACCAGGGAGTTGTCTATGGGAGAAAAGCAAGCTATTTTGAAGCTGACAAAAGAGGGAAAATGTGCACAAGCGTTGGGCATAGCCAATACAACAATTTGGAAAGTCCTGGGGAAAAAAAACACTGGTGTACTAACAAGCAGACACCGAACAGCTCGGTCAAGGAAAACACTAACAGCTGAAGACAGAAATATTGTGAAATCTGTGAAGAAAACCCAAAACCAACAGTCAGTGACATCACCTACAACCTCCACAGGGCAGGGGTGAAGGTATCACAATCCACCGTTCAAAGACGACTTCGAGAGCAGCAATAGAGGCCATACCACAAGATGCAAACCACTCACCAGCAGTAAGAATTGGAAGACCAGATTAGAATTCACAAAGAAATTCAGAGATGAGCCACAAAAGTTCTGAAAGCAAGATTAACCTCTACCAAAGTGATGGAAAGGCCAAAGTGTGGAGAAAGAAAGGATCTGTTCATGATCCCAAACATACGAGCTCAAGTACTGTGGTCAAGTAGTGTGGCAGGCTAACCCTAACCCTAGGTAGCGTCATGGCTTGAGCTTGCATGGCTGCTTCTGGTATGGGCTCACTAATCTTTATTGATGATGTCACTCATTTTGCTGCTACCATCATGAGTGACATCATCACTAATCTTTACTGATGATGTCACTCACGATGGTAGCAGCAAAATTAATTCAGAAGTCTACAGAAACATTCTGTCTGCCAATTTACAGAGAAATGCATCTAGTCTAGTCTAACTGGGAGGATCTTCATCATGCAGCAAGACAATGACCCAATCTGCAAACACAACAAACGACTTAATCAGGAGGAAAAATCAGGTTAGCCTGGCCAAGTCAATCACCAGCCCTTAACCCAACTGAGCATGCATTTCAACTCCTGAAGAGGAGACTGAAGGGAGAACCCCACAAAACAAACACCAACTGAAAGAAGCTGTGGTACAAGCCTGGAAAGTATCACTAAAGAAGAATGCAACAGTTTGGTGATGTAAGTGGGTCACCGGCTTGATGCAGTTACTGCAAGCAATGGATGTGCCACCAAATATTAAGTGTTATTTACTTTAAGACTATCTGTTCTTATACTTTTGCTCACCTAAAAGTTGGCTGGTCTGCTACCAAAGGTGGCATGTTCTAAGTTGTTTAACACATCTAGATGTAAATATCAGGAAATGTAAGCTGAAATTCTGATCTATCGTTTCATATTCAAATGTCTTTTGATCTGAAACCCAAATGTCTACAGTGTATTGCAAAAACAAATGAAT